CCCACTGGCCCTCCTGCCCCCGCCGTAAGTAACCCCCACCCCAAACCCCCTCAGGGTCCAGCCCCACAGCGCAGCTCACCCTTCTCCTCCTCTTCTTCCTTCTCCACAGGGTGCTGTTGGTGCTCCTGGTCCCAAAGGTGCTCGCGGTAGTGCTGGACCCCCTGTAAGTACCAGTCCGGGTGTGGGAGAGGGCTGTTTTGGGGACATCCCCCAGGCATGAGCACCCCTGAGGTGGTTTAACACCCCCCTGTGCCTCACTCCACCCCCAACTCATGGGGCAGAGGGAAGCTGCAGCACTTGCAGCCCTGCATCCCAAACCCTTCTGGGGGGACAACATTGACCTGGGGAGGCTTCATCCTGGGAGGGCTGGAGCAGAGGGGAAGGCCATAGTTTACCTTTATCCCCCCACCAAATCAGCCCCCCGGCCCCCCCGGGATGGATGCTTCCCTCCTGGCCATCAGCCCCAGGGCTTCCTGCGGTGTGCCCTGGCACCGCTCTCCTGGTGGGTCAGGTGATGCCTGGACCAGGACCCTGCTAACTCCACCTTTTCCCCCTTCCAGGGTGCTACTGGTTTTCCTGGTGCTGCTGGAAGAGTCGGTCCCCCCGGCCCCTCTGTGAGTACCCCAGTGGGGTGAGAAGTAGGTGCCGGGAGGGTGCTGGTGCTGGGCACCCATCCCTGCCCTTTCCCAGTTGGTGCTGGGATGCTCCTGCCTGTGCTTCAGCTGGGTCTGACGGCATTGCCTCCGTGTTCAGGGGAACATTGGTCTCCCTGGCCCCCCTGGCCCCAGCGGGAAGGAAGGTGGCAAAGGACCCCGTGGTGAAACTGGCCCTGCTGGCCGCCCTGGTGAGCCTGGCCCTGCCGGCCCCCCTGGGCCCCCTGGCGAGAAGGGCTCCCCTGGTGCTGATGGACCCATCGTAAGTCATCCCTGATGTGGAGCCAAGGATGCTGGCATCTCCCATCCAATGGGGGGCATCTCACTCCCTCCACACCCCTTGGCCATGCTCTCCATGAGGAGGGTGGTCCCCACTGCTGCAGCACCCTGAGGAGCTGTTTGTCCCCCCAGGGTGCTCCCGGCACTCCCGGACCCCAAGGTATCGCCGGTCAGCGTGGTGTCGTTGGTCTCCCTGGACAGAGAGGCGAGAGAGGCTTCCCTGGGCTGCCCGGCCCCTCGGTGAGTACCTGGGGGGCTCTTTGATGCTGGAACCCCCTGGGATCCTACCAACCCATGGAAGATGCTTGACAGTGTTTGACCTCCCCCCTGTCCTCTCCCCTCCGCAGGGCGAACCTGGCAAACAAGGTCCCTCTGGTTCTCCTGGTGAGCGCGGTCCTCCCGGCCCCATGGGCCCCCCTGGCCTGGCTGGACCCCCCGGTGAAGCTGGACGTGAGGTGAGTGGCTGTGGGCAACCGTTGGTGTTGGGGGACATGGACACCCCCCCAGTCAGCATTGGGCTTGCTGCCCTCGCTGAGGACTTGCCGACTTGTGGCACTATGAATGCGGTGACGCTCAGGCCCCTGTTAGCCCCGTCCTGCCCTCATGAGGGGTCTCTGCTCCTCCGTAGGGTGCTCCTGGTGCTGAAGGTGCCCCTGGTCGTGATGGTGCTGCTGGTCCCAAGGTGAGTGGGCAGCCATGGGAATGGGTGATGGGGCTGTGCTGGTTCACACTGACCTCTCCTTCTCCTCTTCCTCTTCCTCCTCCTCCTCACAGGGTGATCGTGGAGAGACTGGCCCTGCCGGCCCCCCTGGTGCTCCCGGTGCCCCTGGTGCCCCTGGCCCCGTTGGTCCTGCTGGCAAGCATGGAGATCGCGGTGAGACTGTAAGTGATGCTCTGCCCTGCGCTCCCCTCAACCCCTTCCCAGCCCAGGGGTCACCCTGGGCTCAGGCAAGCTGTGGAGCAAGGGCTGACCCTGCAGACCCACTGTGGACTCAAGTCTGGCCCTGGGATCTGCTCCCGGTGCTGGACAGAGCTTCCCGGGAATGCAGCGTCCCACCACCCTGCTCTGGGTGATGCTGCCAGCAGAAGGTGGAGGATGCTCTAACCTGTCCCCTTCTCTCCTGTCCCAGGGTCCTCAAGGTCCCGCTGGCCCCCCTGGTCCTGCTGGTGCTCGTGGCCCTGCTGTAAGTTGATGTTAGCCTCCATCCTCCTTGGTGCTTCTGTGTCCCTGCGTGCATGGGGGCAGCGGGTGGCCTGGACCCTGCTCAACACATCTTCCTTCTCCTCCTCCAGGGTCCACAAGGTCCCCGTGGTGACAAAGGTGAAACCGGTGAACAGGGTGACAGAGGCATGAAGGGTCATAGAGGCTTCTCTGGTCTCCAGGGCCCACCTGGTCCTCCTGTAAGTCCCATGGGGTGGGTCATGGTGGCCCTGGGTGCTGCCACACATCCTGGAACCAAAGCGAGATGCCCGTAACACCTTTTCTTGTTCCTTGCTTTGCACAGGGCTCTCCTGGTGAACAAGGTCCTTCTGGTGCTTCTGGTCCCGCTGGCCCAAGGGTAAGTCCTCAGCTGAGCCACAGTCTCCACTGGAGCATCCCATGGAGAAAGTGCCTACTGTCACCAGGTTCCTTGTGGGGACGATGGCCACGCTCACCCCTTCTCTCTCCCACAGGGTCCTCCTGGCTCTGCTGGTGCTGCTGGCAAAGATGGTCTCAATGGGCTGCCTGGTCCCATCGGTCCCCCTGGCCCCCGTGGTCGCACCGGTGATGTCGGCCCTGTCGTATGTATCAGTCCTTGTGCTGCTGCC